TTTGTTTGGCCCTCCAAATGTGAAGAATAAGGGGTGTGCAAACCGGTATTCGGCCTAGGGCCCCTGTAGGATCTGAAGCCTTCTCTGATGGTTAGCACCAAAAAAAAATTGGAGATTTTTGTCTTCTGTTGGGATTGGGCCATCATAGATACTTTTGTATGTGGGCTAGGGGGATATAATAACTTACACCTCCTAGTGGTTGGAAGGGGGATTATCACTGGCCATCACTTGGTTAATGTGGGTTCTGCAAACTCTGGCGTTCTAATCTGATCAGACCCTTTCTACTCATTTTACTTTCACACGGGGACCAACAGGGTACTCCTTTGCACATTCCCAATTTCTGTGTTTTACCTGTTAGTGGAAGGAAGGGCCGAGGCTGCTACCTGAGGCTTGTGGAAAGCAATCAATTGTTTCAACCTAATTGTTTCATTAATGTTAGCAGGAAAACAACTGCGTGTATAGAAATATTCACCATGCATTGCTGCACCTGTCAGCCTGTCACCCACTAATCCTCCTGGGAGCAGAAATATTAAATATCTTGTTAAAAAAAATAAAGATGAAAGTAGCGTCAGACAACAAACATCACTACCAGCAGATTTAGCAGGGGATGAGAAATACCCAGCCGGACTCCATTTATCCCCTTAAGGACACATGACATGTGTGACATGTCATAATTCCCTTTTATTCCAGAAGTTTGGTCCTTAAGGGGTTATACCACATACTGTGCAGCGCTTTTTTTTTTTTTTTATGTTGAATTTGGGGACTTTTTCATAGCATTTAATATTAGATGTGTTTAAGTTGAAAGTTTTCCTTTTTTTGCTAAATAATAATGTTTTACAGAATGTTATCATTATTTCTGAGAGTTTTGCAGTAGATAACACCTGAACTACAATTCCCAAAATCCCCTCCCTGTTAAAAAAGCACTACTTACGTCCAGCCTGTTATTATTAAGTTTGTTTATGTTTAAAAATGTTCACACACTCACAACAATGCTAAGCCTATATGTATCTATATGCACGCTGTTGTGGCGCTTGACAAAAGCCTGTATCCAAAAACAGTCAATTACCTATTACACTGTTTAGCCTGTTTATATGCACGTGTACACTGTTGTGGCGTATGTCTATGTTTATATACTCACCTGAGCAACAACAATAAAGAATTATTATTATTTTTTTTTTTAAAAGCACTGCCGTATTCATGGAATAAATTTGGAATGTTTCAAAAAAAATCTAAAAACAAAAATTGAGCATTATGATTGGCTGAGGCACTTCCTGGTTTGGACAGAGCTCACTGCAGAAGCTGCAAAGCCTGGTGATTCACAGCTAAATGCAGGAACTTTTTTATGTATTTTGCTTTTGAACGTATTGCAATGCGTTATCTACATAATGAATGAAAAATAAAATGAGTCAACTTCAGAACATAGGTTCCCTTTACATAGTTATGTACTCATGTGTCTTGAAATGAGGAGAGAATAGATTTCAGCTTTCACACTAAAACATTAATATGTTAGAAATGTTGGCAAGTTGTTTTTGTCTTTTGTGTTTTCTCGTAGACCTCTAGAAGTGAAATCAGCATTCTGCTCTCAGAATAGCATTAAACAGGAGATTCGATCAGCTTCATAGATTTTTGCTTAGGGGTGCGTTCAAAATACGGGTAATGAGGGGTATCTCAGATCTTGTGCTTAGGGGGCCATGAGATGAAATTGCTGCTTAGGCTGCAGGCCTGTCTTGAAATGAATCCTAATTTTTAACTGAGGATATGCCACTAAAGGCATGTTGCAGTATTCTGGGTAAAAGAGATAACTAACCTTGGAAACATGAATGTTTGCAGAATGCAATTCCCATGACGCTCAGTCAGCCTTTAGTCTTGTTGACCGTCGTAGGAAATATGCCGGATTTTTCCATTGCTGGTTTATATTATCTGCATGCAGCATCATGCATAAAGGATTTGGTTATGTCAGTCAGCATAGCTACTGTAGACTACAACTCCCATAATCCTTGTAAATTGCAACATGGGACCACAACTGCTGGCAGGTGATGATCACTAATCGTCTACTTAATTTAGCATGATTTCAGTTATAGTGGATTCTCTTTGCATCATATACAGTGGGGGGTCAGTAATGTATTGGGGAGAGGAGGG